CTCTGTGACTCTTGAAGGTCACAAGTGTGATTTGCAGTGATTCTGGACAACTGGTGGCTATTGAATTATAAACTCGACAGACTTAGTGACACAAATAAAAGCAGATATAGAAAAGGTAACGAAAATCCCTTTTGAACTGTAACCCTGCTAACTGATGTGTGCAAATCTGTATTAACAGGAGCATTATATTGCGGAAGACTATTTTCATTATTGTGAAATCAATAGTTTAGTTAAGTGCCTAAGAATCATTTGATATTGACGCTTGGCATTCAATTCTTCTTTCTTTCACGTTCCAGACGCGAAAGGTAATGCAAACGGTAAGCAGTGGATCACATGATGGGAAAGGAATATGGCTCCTTCCACATCCTCACGAGTGCGAAGCGAAATTCTCGCTCACAAGCTTCCCCACCCTTCTTGTTCCCAAGAAAAAAAAAATACAAAAATAAATTCAAACAGAGACACGAATAGAAAAATAGATTGTGTGGTTTTTTTTAAATAAGAAGCAGAGGCTCTTAGAGATTATGTCAGACTGTGGCAAGAGTGTCAGCGTTTTAGTCATTTCAGTGCGGTTGTTCGGTCGCCACATCCTAATATCATCTGCTGCTGTTTCCTCTATAGATGCAAAGCAACATGCTATGTTTTTGTGTAACAGAATTGATTCTTTCTCACCCTGTGAACATCGAATTGCAAGCTATGTTCGATACATAAGAGCAGAAGTGTTCCCACTTCCTTGTGTTTCATTGGGCATAAGTTTCCTCGTTATTTACAAAAGTAATTTGGCGTTACATCAAAAGGAAGGTTCCACAAAAGGAAAGTTCTGCTCAGTTTCGATGTCATAAAAGCCTCTTACGAAAGTTTTTATTTTTTTAACTCCCCTATTGTGTCTGACTATTCCTATTTACTTTCCCTATTCACTTTTGGTGTGAGTCCAAAGTTTAAAAGTCCTTTAATTAAATTAATGATATCTAAAGTCGATTTTGGCAGTGTGCACAATTTTCTCAGTTCAAATGAAAATAGACTCTGAAATATTGGCTCTTCATGATTAAAAAACAAAAGGAGGGAACGCATTAAACAAAAGAGGAACAAACTTACCCATGGGGTGGAAAAGATGAACGCACCTTTTTCAAAATATAACCTTAAGAACCTGAGGGAAACTTTAACAAAATTCCTCAGCCGTTTCCTTTCTTCTTAGCGCAATATCAGTTTCTTTTTAAATTTGCAATTCGAATCGATGTCGAGAATCTTTTTCATTCTGTCAATAGCTTGTAAGGAGAGCCGSATTATTGGAAATCCATGAAACGTCTTTAACATCTACATTCACTTTCGATTACGCCGGGAATCTTTCAGAATATCCAAATGTTTAAGAGTAGAAAACGAAGGATTTGGCATTTTGTGTCTACCCTTTAAGCCCTCAAGACGCTGAAATTCGCCGTTTTCAGCCACAAAAACGATAATAAACGATACTGATACGTTTATTTTGGTCTTAAATGGAAATATCATCATAATGTTATGCGAGAATATCACACTTTCCGATTTTCTCTTACAATTTCTTTAAATACAAAAGAGAAAAAACAAATACTAGAAAAAGGAAACGATTTATAGATAGTGCGTGTGGACCGACCCTTTTGAGAGACTAAGAGGTTACTTAACTTAAGCGGATTAAGTATAGAAGTCCATACAAACTCAAAGCGAGTAATTTATACCAGCATGATATTCTCTATTTTGCCATTATCATCGTGAAGTAACATTAAACAATTAGCGTGAGTTAGCATGGGTAATACACGTTCATATTGGGGGGCGAAATGGTTGGCGTTGCAAGTTTAACGACTACACAAAATGGTATTCAAAAGATTCATGACATCGGATGACGATTTATTATGAATACCACTGAGTATGATTAGGACAATAAAAGCGCCAATGATAATAATGTAAGACAACTATGTAGGAATAATTTGAATGAAACAGTTTAAAAGACATTTGAAAATATAAATTCGAAAAAAACAAGAGTTTTTGAGACAGAAGAGTGATGGTTGTAAATAGTTATAATGTTGGAATAATATCGTCACTACATTCACTAAATACCTAGAACATTTCAGTTACAGAAATATCGAGGTCACGTCAAATAAAAGATCAGGTCGATAGGTTTGAAGTAATGTGCAGTGTATTTTCTNTTTTGCCTAGCAGAACCGATTCTTTCTCATTGTGAACATCGAATTACAACCTATATTCAATGCAAAAAGGATTCCCACTTCCTTCTCTTTATGTTTCATTAGGCATAAGTTTCCTCTTTATTTACAAAAGTTAATCGGGAATGGCATCAAAAGAAAGGTTCTGCCGAAGGAAAGTTCTGCTCAGTTTCAATGTCATAAAAGCCTGTTACGAAAGTGTTTATTGATTTAACTCCCCTATTGTGTCTAATTATTCCTATTTACTTTCCCTATTTACTTTTGGTGTGAGTCCAAACTTTGAAAGCACGTCCCTTCATCAAATTAACTATATCTAAAGTCGATTTCACTTGGCAATGTGCACAATTTTCTCAGTTCAAATGAAAACAGACTCGAAATACTGGCCCTTTATGATTAAAAAAAAACGTAAGGCGGGGAACGTCAAAAGAGAATTAAACATACGTCCAAAGAGAATTAAACATACCCATAGGGTGGAAAAGATGAACGCACCTTTTTCAAAATATAACCTTAAGAACCTGAGGCAAACTTAAAAGAAATTATTCAGCCATTTCCTTTCGTCTTAGGGTAATATCAGTTTCTTTTTAAATTTGCAATTCGAATCGATGTCGAGAATCTTTTTCATTCTGTCAATAGCTTTTAAGGAGAGGATTATTGGAAATCCATGAAACGTCTTTAACATCTACACCATGTTCACTTTCGATTACGCCGGGAATCTTTTCAGAATATCGAAATGTTTAAGAGTAGAGAACGAAGGATTTGGCATTTTGTGTCCACACTTTAAGCCCTTAAGACGCTGATCATGAAATTCGCCGTTTTCAGCCACAAAAACGACAATCAACGATGCTGTGACGTTTCTTTTGGTCTTAAATGGAAATATCATCATAATGTAATGCGAGAATATCACACTTTTCGACCTTCTCTCACAATTTCTTTAAATACAAAAGAAAAAACAAAGACTAGAAAAAGGAAACGATCTATGGACAGTGCGGGTGGCTCGACCCTTTTGAGAGACCAAGAAGTTACTTAACTTAAGCGGATTAAGTATAGAAGTCCGTACAAAATCCGAGTGAGTAATACCAGCATGATATTCTCTACTTTTTTTCATTTTCATCGTGAAGTAAGCGAGTTAGCATGGGCAATGCACGTTCATATGTGAAGTTTTATCGCAATTGAAAGCGAAAGGACATTTTAGGGAGCGAAAAGCGGTTGGCGTCTCAAGTTTAACGACTAAACAAAAAATGGTATGCAAAAAATTCATGACATCGGATGACAATTTATTTTGAATACCACTGAGTATGGACAGTAAAAGCGCCAATGATAATAATGTAATAATATTATTAATGTAATAATATTAATGATAATGTAAGACAGCCATGTAAGGAATAATTTAAATGAAACAGTTTATAAAGACATTTGAATTCGAAAAGACAAGTTTGAATTCGAAAAGACAAGTTTTTGAGACAGTGATGGCTACAAATAGTAATAATGTAGTAATAGTATTGTCGCTACATTTACGAAATATTTAAAACATTATGGTTATAGAAATATCGCAGTCACGTCGAATAAAAGATCAGGTCGATAAGTTTGAAATGATGTGTCATTGAGCTAACCGCCTCCCGGTTAGCTCAATGGATAGACCGCTGGACTGTTGTGCGGGAGGTCGAGGGTTCGAGCCCCGGCCGGACCAACATTCAGGGTCTTAAAATAATTGAGAAGAATTTGCT